GAGGGGATCAGTGGAAAGGGGGGAAGGGGGAGATCTGTAATACTTTCAACAATAAAGATAAATTTAAAAAATAAAATAAAAATAAAAAACAAACCTGGCCGTAGCTGGTTTGTCTCGGTGGTTAGAGCGTCAGCCCTCAGACTGAAGGGTCCCGGGTTCAGTTCCAGCCAAGGGCACGTACCTCAGTTGCAGGCTGAATTCCTGGCCTCTGTCGGGGTGCGTGTGGGAGGCAACCAGTCAATGTGTCTTCTTCACATTGATGTTTCCCTCTCTCTCTCTCCCTTCCACTCTCTGAAAAACAATGGGAAGAGTATCCTCAGGTGAAGATTAAAAAAATTAATAAATAAATTTAAAAACAAGCCTGCACACAGATGCTCATAGCAGTTTTATTCATAATTGACAGAACTGGAAGCCACCAAGGCGTCCTTCAGCAGGTGGATGGATAAATCAACTGTGGTCCATCTGGACAGTGGAATATTATTCAGCACTAGAAGAAATGAGCTGTCAAGTCATGGAAAGATGTGGAGGAAGCCCCGGCTGGTGTGGTTCAGTGGTTAGAGCATTGGTTCGAGGACCGAAGGGTTCGATTCCTGCTCAAGGGTACATATCTGGGTTGCAGGCTCGATCCCCAGGTCTGTGGTCCAGGTGGATGCAGGAGGAACCAATCAATGTGCCTCTCTCACTTCGATGTTTCTCTCTCTCTCTCCCCCTTCTTCCCTCCCTTTCACTCTCTAAAAATCAATGGAAAAATATCCTCTGGTGAGGATTTTTTTAAGAAGATGTGGAGGAACCTCGCACGCACGTGAGTAAGTGACAGAAGCCCATCCGAAAGGGACACACTGCGTGGCTCCAGCCACGTGACGTTCCGGAAAAGGCGACGCCGTGGGGCAGCAGACAGGTCCGTGCTGGGGGCTGGGAGGAGGCTGAACAGGCCGGGCACAGGGGCTCGGGGCAGCGGGGCTGCTCGGCGAGACGCTGTCGCGGTGGACACGGCATCACACGTTTGTCCAGGCCCACAGGGCGTGCAACACCGAGCGCGACCCTGTAACCTGTGGGCTCTGGGCAGGTTTGTCGATTGTAACAAATACACCAACCATCGGGTAGGGGTGTCAATAACGGAGGCTGTGCATATGGGGGCAGGGGACTCTCTGTACTTTCAACCTAAAACGACTCTAAAAGTGAAGGGAGATTGTCATTCACCTTTCTCAGAAACCCACAGGCCAAGCGGACCAAAAATAAACATATAGCAGCACCCAACAATAGTTAATAAGCTTGATCCAACTTCAGCGGGGAGAAAGCGCAAGTGGCCATTTACAGGAGCGGGTGTGGTTCCAGGGCACAGTGATGACAGCAGGCCCCAGGGGAGCCGAGGGTGGGGTGGCAGGTGCTCTGGGAGGGGCCTGCAGCTTCTTCGTCTGACAGCGGATTGTAGCTGAGTGAGTGCCATGGAAGCTGGAGGCCAGTTAGAGGGCAGCTGACTGATCCTGATCACTGTGCCACCTGCCTGGCCAGGGGGCTGCAGATGGGGATGGAGGTGGGGAGCTCTCAGAGGGTGAGGGTCGGGATGTGGGGAACCCACTAGTTTCCAGCCCGCACCCGGCCGGGTGGTGTTGCCCTCCTGAGACAGGAAGACAGGAAGGCAGGGGTGGCCACAGAGCGGGACTGGGGAGGCTGGGGGACATTTGGGAGACTGGGACCACGGGGCAGAGGGTAGAGGCTGGAAACCTGGCGGGAGGCGAGGTCCAGTGCCTGTCCCCTCTCAGGAGACCTGGCACCTGGGTACTCACTGGTGAGCAGGTACACACAGACTGCTCTCCCTGACCCTCGGAAGCCTACCTCGGTTCTGCCCAGAGGACCGCAGTGCATGTTGCAGGCCTGCAGCCAGCCCCAGGCAGATAGGTGTGGGTGGGTTCTCTGCCCGCAGGCTGTTAAGAGGCTGCGCCTGTGCCCCTCCACCCTCTTCAAAATGCTTCCAATTACCAGAGCGCGGTGTTTGAGGGCGTTCCGCAAACCACCAGAGGGTAGAAGTCCAGTTGCGGACGGGGGAATGCCTTCCCCACCACTGGCAGCTCACAGACTCCCGGCCTTCAAGCCCCCTACCCACCACCCTCGTTCTCCCTTCCCCCGAGTTCAGTCTGGATCCTCTCTTCTGTTATTGTCCAGCCAGGGCTGCGGGAGCCAGCATGTACTTGGGGCCACCCCCCCACACGTGCTGAGGGAGAGAGGACACTGGCGCTTTGGAGGAAATGTGTGCTTGGCGTCAGGGTCCTCATTCCCGCGGCCCAGATGCTGGATGCAGTAAGTAAGGGGCTAACCCGTGCCCAGCTCTCACAACTCTGGGGGCGCCACCACCCACTCAGCTGCTCTGGCCAGCCTCCTGCCACCCCACCTCTCCAACACATTCCTCTCCGTCACCCTCAAGCCCACTCCTACCCTCTGCTTGCCCCTCCACTCCCAATACTTCTTGTCGGGCAGTTGACAATGTGGTGGCAGGGCCACCTCCTGAGCAGGGGATGTGGCAGCGCAGAGGGCAACAGACCAGACAGACTACCCACAGCTCCTGCGGCCCTCAGACGGACGGTCACCGCAACAGCTCCCCGCGTTGTCTGGCTTCCATGGTCTCAGGACGAACCGTGTTCTCATGCCCCCAAACCCATCTGGACGCCCACCTTCCAAGAGCCCGTGGGGACCTGCCCTCTGCCTCACCGGCCCCCAGACCCCCAGCTGCCTGCCTTGCATCTGTCCCGCTTGCATTCAGGACCCAAAGACTTTGGCAAGGGGCTCTCAGCACAGCCACATCACAGGTTAAATGTGACCACTTTTAGACGTGTGAGGGCACAGCACACACTCCACTGCCATGGCCACCGCACTAGGGAAAGGACAGGGCCGGTGTCACTAGGAAGCAGCTATGACGTTCTGATCGGAAAGGCCCGCAGACCACTTCCACAGGAGCGAGTGTCAGAGGGAGGGTTCAGCACACCCTTCAGCACAAGAGACGGACACAAATTACGAAACATGTTTTTATTTTAAGTCAAAGTACCAAGCAGATACTTGCAAAACAACATACAAAGTAGAACTCAGATGCTTCTCTCACCCAGGCTGCCTCTGAGCACCAGTGAGTAAAACCAAGCCGATCCGCCTTCCCCAAACCAGAGCACAGGACAGCAAGTTCTGCCCAGGCCAGGGGGAGGGGGGTCAGGTGTGCCGACCCCTCCCCAGCAGCAGAGGCTCCTGAAGGCTGGTGGACCCCTCCCCGCATGGGGGGGGGGATGCGGGGCTGGGCGTTAACCCCGAAGCTGCAGAGCTTCGAGTGTATGGCTCTGAAGTGGACTCTCCTGGGGCCATGGTCTGAGGCCAGCACAGGGGCTGGAAGGAGGAGGGCGCTTTGTGGTTTTATTAGTAAACGGAGCTGGTGCAGACAGGGACAGGCTGGGCACACCCACACCTGGGGGCCCACACCCAAGGCTCCCATACTGCCCACCTAATGGGACTCAAGACTCAATCAAGATGCACTTAAAATAGAAGTGCAGACACAAACAAGAGAGTAAATGTCACACTGAGACCAGCGGACCCATGAAAAAAGCAAACAAACTGTAACAGAGAAAACAAGACAACCTCAGTAGCTTGAGGTGGGGGCAAGGCCTGCTGAAGTGGGGCCTGGGGCACTTGATGGGTGGAAGAATGGACGGACGGAGCCCAGTTCCCTTCAAAGCATGAGGGGAGCCCTCCCCATGGTGGGGACCCCAGAGAAGCTTCCTTAGCAGGCCACAGGACTGAGGTTGACAGTGGGGACCTGACACTCAAGGGGATCAGGCCTTCCTTGGGGACCTGCAGGGGGCCCCCCTTCAGGTCTACCTCGTGACTCCAAAGTCAGAACTGTGGCTGGCCCAGGGACAGCCCCTCAGCAAGTATCCAGGTCCCTACTTTGACCAGCACTGGGCAGTAACCCCACAGGCCCTGGAGCAGGGGGCACAGCACCTCCAGGTGGGAGTCCTAGGGCTGAGGCTGTCATGGTAGCCCCACCAGCAGGTTGAGCACAGGGCATGAGGTGCACCCACCCTCCCATCTTGCTCTATTTATGCCCCCACCCCCAGGACCCAAGTGGCAGGACCCCCAGCCCTCAGCCACCTTCACACTGGCTGTCTGACAGCCGTCTGCACAAACACCCTGGAGTCCAGAGCAGACTCCGGAAGCCTAGGCACTCAGCATGGTTGGAGTTGAAAATACTATAAATCTGACTCTTCCTAGAGACCTGCTAAACAGTTCACATGAAAACACCCACAGTGCATGTGGGACGGTGCTGGAGTGCCAAGCATCCGCTGGTGGGCAGGGGGTAGTGGGGGAAGCTCGTGCTGCTGGGCCCCTCAGCCCCTCTGCTCAGGCAGGTGCCCCCAGGTCTGCACCCCAGACCCCAGGAGCCGGAGCCCCCAGACCTGAGCCACATGTGGACCTGACGCACCAGCCATGCCTGTACCAAGACGGGAGGGCAGAGTGCCGGCCACACTAAACCTACAGAAAACTGTGGGAAGAAACCAAATCCATAGGATCCATGGCTTTCCACCCTTGGGGATGGTCCCCAAGACATGTGCTAGTGATGTGCCCCCAGCGTGCGGCCACGGCGGGCCCACTCCCGGTGCTGCCTGCTGTCCTGGATGCAGCGAGGCCTATGTGTCCTCTCATCTGGCTCCTGGTCGGGCCCAATGTGTAAACAGTATTAATAAGCAACAGATGGAAAAATATATTTCCCAAGAAAATGGGGGAAGTTCAGAATTCAAAGCCCTGCAGGCATCACAGGTTGCTGTCACCCTGTTCCTCTCTCTCCTCTCGATCCATTTTGTTGTTTCCTCTCTTTGGTTCATAACGCACCATGGCCTGAAGAGAGGGGCCAGTCCCGTGCCTGTGAGAGGCCTCCCTCTCTACCAACAGCTACTTGTGCTCGTGGCCCTCAGCCATGGCGGCCACCTCAATGGTGGCTGTGTGCTCCTCAGGTCCCGGGGCAGCCACAGTGTTCTCCATGGCCCCCGTGGGCACTGTCACAATGGTGCTACCCCCTGGTGACACCTGGGCCACGTTCTGCAGGGTGGGGCCCAGACCAGGAAGGGTGAGCAACTGCAGGGGGCTGACCACCTTGACCACAGTGCTGCCGTCCTGCATGGCTGCCGTGCTCAAGACTGTGAGGCTAGGCGCGTCCGGGTGGATCTCCACTGTGCCAGGGAAGGAGGTGCCCGACGAGGCCAGCACTGTGTAGCCCCCAAGCAGTGGCGAGGTGGGGGAGCTGGTGGGAGCTGCCTGGGGGCAGCCCTTGCCCAGCACGGGGGAGGGCAAGGTGGACATCACTTTGCCGAGTGGCACGCTGGTCAGCTGGGAGACAGGCACGCCTGGGCTGAGGGCAATTTGGGCGGATTGGGTGAGCACTTGGGAGGCGATGGCAGCTGGCCCGGACGTGGCCCTTGCAAGCCGGGGCCGCTTTATGGGGGGCGGCAGGGACACAGGTGTCAGCGTCATGAGCACGTTGCTGAGGTGCTGGGACTTGTGCTTGAGCTCCTTGGCCCGTCGGCGGTGCTCGTCACACTGCTGCTCCAGGGCTGCAGGGACAGGACAGAGCGTCACTGCGGGACATGGGGACGGGGACAGAGGTCACTTGGGGATGTGGGGACAGGGACAGGCACCACTCTGTCAGGGACAGGGAGTGTCAAACCACACACACCCTGCCCCTCTGAGCTGCCACACACTCAGATCCACCTACATTTTGCATGAAGAGCTGCTCTTATGATGTTAGGTAAAAACTAGGTCAAGACAACACATGCAACCAACCAGCTCTACACATGCACTCACATGCCCACATTCATGTATAGCCACATACAAGCATGCACATGCACACCCATGCACACCCACATCCATGCACACCCACACCCATGCACACCCACACCTGTATGTACACACCACACGTGTGCACACACATACACGTGTGTGCATGTGCACTCACACCATGCACATGCACACCCCGCAAGTCAGACACTGAGGGGTGCTGGGAAGGATGGACCCGGCTGGCACAAACTGAGCTCTGCCGTGTCCTCTTGTGAACATGCAGCTCGCCCCAGAAGCTCAGGCCACTGTCCTCTCCACAATGGCGGGTGAGCCTCATGGCCTACTGACAGCGCTGAGGCCCCATCCTACGTGGACTTCGGGCCCTGCACCGAGGATGTGGGCCCCCCACGCACCAGCCAGGTCGCGTGCGTACTGCTCCCGCGAGCGGTCCATCTGGCACTTGTGGCCGGCCAGCACCTTCTTCACCAGGTCCAGCATGCCGAAGTTCTGCACGATGTTGTTGAGCAGCACAGCGTCTGGGGGAGACGGCGGCAGTGAGGGCAGCGCTGGCCAGGGCTCAGCAGAGGCCGCTTCCACTGCTAGCAGCTGGGCCTTGGCACAGCGGTGTCCTGCGCTGAGGGGGGGCCCGGAGGAGCAGGACCAGCTGCCCACTCCCTGGAGAAGTTGCTGGGCTCAGCTCGGAGCCACCGGAGCAGGCGGTGCCTACTGTGTCCCGAGCCAGCCAATCCCCCAGCCCTGCTCTGCAAGAAGGGGCCCCGCAGGCAGTGCCCTCACCTCGGAGCTGCAGTGGAGGGTCCTGCACCCGCTGCTGCAGGCCTTTCATGGTCTCCACCATCTCCTGGTGGAACTCCTGTATGACCTCGTCCAGCAGGCCGGCATCCTTGAGTCCTCGCCAGAAGGCAAATGTGTCGTCTGGGGAGGGAGAGAAGGCTCAGAGAGCAGGAAGTCTTGCCCTGACCCACCGGGGCCTTTTAACCATGGGAGGAGCAAAGGACCACAGGGAGGACATCGCTCTGGGGGTCAGCAGAGTCCCTCTACTGAACTGGGCAGAGTCAGTCAGTGGATCAGCCCAGCAGGTGATGCAGCCTCCAAGCACTGGGGCTGTCCACAGCCACAGCTCCCCGCACTGTCCTGTCCTCTTGGGGCCCTGCCCCAGGCTCCCACCCAGGAGAAGCCCACGGGAAGAACCCCGTACCTCCGATGGCTGTGGTCCAATCACCAGGATCCTCACAGGTCTCTATGGTGATTGTAGCAGGAGACCCGTTCACTGCAACCAGGAGATAAGCAGGTGAGCCCCCCCGCCTCGCTGAGAAGCATCCACTTACCTCACAAAGCTGATGAACAGGAGCCCTGGTGCAGAGGACTCACTGCCTTGCACTAACTGCACTTTTTACTGTTAAATTGCAGGTACCTCAGACACTTACAAAGCAGAAAGAACTGACAGAAACCTCTTGAGCCCAGGACCCAGTTCCAATACCTCAACACACTCTGAGGGTCAGCAAACCTGGACTGCGTGATGGGGTCCCTGCCGCTTGGCTGGGCTAGTGCCCTGGATTCCTCCCCCTCCCATATGCTTCATCGACACCACCATATGTTTCAGTGCCTGTTAGGATGGTTTACCTATAGCCTGTTTTGCTCAATAAGCTTTATGTGACCTCTTCCATCTAAGCATGTTTTTCTCCATAGTTTGGGGCAATTGACACAAGCAAGCCCATCTGCAAGCAAAGATAGGCCCTGACCACTCCGCTTGCCCAAGGCTACACCCACAACACATCCTATTATCCTAAAAGACATCCTGTTACTCTGACAATTCTTCACAGCTGGCGCATGCAACACTGGCCAGCATCATAGCCTATCTTAGGCCCCTATGAAAAAAAGCCTAACCCCACTTTCAGGGCTGACCTCATACTGTTGGTCTCAGCCCACTGTGAGAGGATGCTTCAATAGAATCTTCTAAAACCTCTCAGTGCTTCTCGGCCTGGTCCCTCTTGGCATCGGCCTAACACTCTCCATTTGTAGTTTCCAATCAGAAGAGGTGAAACTCTGGGAGACACGAGCTGTCACTTGGCCTCTAGGGTCTTTTGCACACAATCATGGACACAGAGGCATCTGGTCATTTGTGGTTGCTTTTGACAGACACCTGGCTTCACACAGAGTTGGCTTAAAAACAAGCCTGGTGACTGGCTAATGCCATATCCACATCTGACAAAGACTTGGCGCTGGGGACGTCACATGCTTGGAATTATTCGAGGCACAAATGGTATCCCTCACAGTCAGGGCTGACATGTCTCTGACTAGCTGCACAGGAGACTTGGACTGAAGAAACCACCATATAGGTTAAGTTTAAGTAAATCAACAGACAGGTCCAGACCTCAAAGGGATGACAGAGTTCAAAGAGCTAAGCCCTGACCTGAGGTGCCTGTGCCAACAGGGTGAGCACTGGCTGGCACACTTGGAGACTGGTCCTCCCTCAGAGATCAGTCACCCCACACTCACCCCCAGGCCACCCTACTATTACGCAAGCTACAGGGCCAACAGGAGTGGGACGTGTGTGTGGATGTGTCTCCAGGGGGAGGGGCTCTGTGGTGACCCATCCCTGACCACACACTGTCTGGAGGCCGCACCTGGTGCTTCTAGAGCTTCTAGCAAAGGCTCCACAGATCAGCCAGCAGCAGCATACCCACCCTCGGCCAGGACTCGGGCACATCTGGGCAAGGACATCATGCACTGCTGCCCAGCCCCCCTCTCCTTCCTCCAGTACAGGCCACGTTCCCTCAAATAGCCATCATCTGGTCAGCGACAAGGGCAGTCCCTGGCCACACTCAAGTGCCCAGGGTGACCCCACACAGTGACAGTGTAGGGACAATGCAAGTGACCTCACTGGAAACACACCACGAAATTATTACCAAGTAACACAAAAGGGGAACTCAGGACCTGGTTTCCTCTGACTTTGTTTTTAAAAATAATCTATATTTTAAAAGCTGGAACAAGTTCATGGATATTTTGTCCCGCTACCAGTGAGCACCAGACATCAACATGGGCGCATCACAAAGATATCAGCCAGAGCCCAGGTGGCAGGAAGGGATGCAGAGCCAAGCACCAAGTGCTGCGGGAGTACAGGTCCCACTGGGCACAGCTGCAGGGGCTTGGCATAAGGGTGCAGGGAGCACCCTACTGGTCAGAGCTGTGGGTGGGCCCCGGACGTTGGCATCACCATTCTCTAAGTGCTCCTATGTAGGAGTTTCTATGTTTAATAACAAAAGTGGCTTAAAAAAAAAAGTGCTTGAATTGTCCCTAGGGGTGAAATAGCTGTTCAGACTTCTGCAATGAGGGAGGAGGCAGCTGTTGACCATGGGCCCAGGAGCACAGACACCCAAGCTGAGGGGCACATCCACCCATCCAGCTCCGTGGCCAGCAGCAGAAGGGGCTGGGTGACACCAAGCAGGCATGGCACGTACCGTCAGCTGTGGCAGGTGTGAGGGGGAGGTACTCGGCCGACGTGGGGCTACTCAGAGACACACGGGCACCAGAGAGGTCAATCTTGGTGCTGCGGCAGGTGTTGGAGCAGACCTTGTCGTGCTGGTAGAAGTCCAGCTCCCCAGAGTCCATGATCTTCCTGTGCGGGAGACAAGCACGCCAGGTGTGCCTGAGCTGTGGCCATCTGCGCACGACTGGATCCAAAAACATCGCTCAACCCCCCCACTAGCATGACCTCAGGTACTTGGAGGGGTAGTCGAGGCCCCATCGGGAGGTGGGAGGAGGCTCCCCTACAGGCCTGTTCAACAGCACAGCACAAAGCTCTGGAACCAGGGGACTCGCTGTAGCCAGGCATGTGGCCCTGACCATGGGAAGTGAGACTGCAGTGGCTGGAGCCCCAGGGGAGCAGTGAGGCCACAGGGTGAGCAGACCCATGGCACACAGAGGTGCTGAGAGCAGCATAAGCTGGAAGGTAGAAGGGTGAAAAACCCACCGAGAACAGGTTAGAGAAGGGTAAGAAACCTTGTGCCTCTTGAGTTCCCACTGCAAAGTCGAGTTGTGAGAGGGTCAGACATTCCACTGGGCCTCTACCTCGCTCGCCATGGGCAGCATGGCTGCACTGACCTCCCTTCAGTGAAATGGGCCATTGCCTTCCCACAGCTCTGACATGCAGGCACTTTACAGAAAACCAGGGACAGCTGGACAGGCTTAGGGAGAAGCCTAAGCACCGATGGACCTGCCTGCTTGAGGGCAGGGGACAAGATAGCCACTGGGGACTCGGCCTTGGGCATCTGCAGCCCAAACTGCAGTCTACAAGGAGAGTGACCAGGACCATGGCCAGGGCTCCAAGGGAGGAACACAGGCACTCCCACAGCAGCAGCACACAGCCAAGGACAGCAAGAACCACCCTTTGGGGAAAGGCCTGAAGGACAGCAGCCCTGTCAGCAGCAAAGTGACCAATCCAGCTGTGCCAGACACATCTCTGATGGACATGCAGTGGGGGCCATGGGATGAGTTGGGCAGAGGGCAGGGACAGACCAGTAGGGGTGCCCCTCCCAATCAGGGAAAAGATGTGACACCAAAACTGGAATCCTGACACATGAGAACCAGGAAGTGACATTCAGAAGGGGTCAGAAGGCCATTGTTGACAAGCCCCAGCCCGGGGTACCCGTGGAGCAGACACAGGCCGAGAACCCCATGCAGAAGAGCGGGAGCCCCATGCAAGGCTGCTATAGACCCTGGATTTCAGATTAGACGTCTGTGTGGAGCAGCCAGGAGCTGCCAAGGTTCCCATACTCCTGATTAGTGTCAAAGGGAAGGAAGTCTCTGAGAACAAAGGGAACTCCTTACCAAGGGCAGAGAGCAGGCCTAGCACAACCGAACCCATCACAGGACAGGCCATGGTCCAGACTGAGACCCACTGCAAACTCACTGGCATGAAGGGCAAAGGAAACAGACCCATAGCCACCAAATGCAGACATGGTCTAGACAGGCAGACTCAGAGCCTGAGAGGATAGTGTCCAGATGGCTGGCCAGACGAACATGCACTCAGGTTAAAGACGAGGCTCTGGACATGCCCTCCTGGGTCTGAGGACACTGCCTACTAGTGACCTTGTGCATTCTGCAGATACAGTGGAAAAGCTGGCTAAGACATGGGCCTGTGCCTATCTGATGTGCAAACACTGTGTCACACCATGGATATTTACTACAAAACAGCCACAGGGTCACCAGCATGGCTCAGCAGTTCCACGTTGACCTATGATCTAGGAGATCATGGTTTGATTCCCAGTTAGGGCACATGCCCAGGTTTCAGGCTCGATCCCCAGTAGCGGGTGTGCAAGAGGCAGCCAATCAATGACTCTCTCATCATTGATGTTTCTCTGACTCTCTCATCATTGATGTTTCTCTCTCTCTCCCTCTCCTTTCCTCTCTCCAAAATCAATTTAAAAAACAAAAAATAGCCACCGTGCCCCCAGGTAAAAACTGGTGAAACTCAGACGACAAAACCACAAGTCTGACAGTGCTACATGTCAGTGCAGCCTTGGGGACAGTGTCAGCTCTCCTCATGTCTAAAAATGTGCCTCATCCTCAAAAGCCCCAAACAAATGGAAAAGCAATGACCACAAGTTTCCACCATGGAGGGATATCTAGCAAGATGACCTGCACCCCTGGCTGCAGTGCCCCCCGCCCACACGGATGCCCACCTGAGCATGATGCCATTCATCCGGATGGCCCTCTTCCAGTCCTTCAGGGTGGACTTGCCGGCCAGGTGCACGAACTCCTTGGGGCTGATGACGTGCTCATCATACTGGGGAGGGGACACAGCACAGTCAGGGTAGCACCGCCCACTGCCACCGCTCCACCGGACCTTCCTTCACCTGAAAGCTCCTGTCTGATCACCTGCCCTGCGCCTGAAATGCTCGGCCCCTCGACCCTGAGCTCAAGTTGGCAGGCTGGGAAATAATGATCGTACTTGTGTTTATTCATCTTTCTTAATGGATGCAGAGCTCACGTTTATTTCAGCGTTTAGTGTTAGAAGTTGGTGATGGACTGCTGACCAGAAACCCCTGCAGGACCTCACCCTTGTTTATGTCACTGGGCCCAGGAGAAGCCTGGTTTTCCTACACATCGCTTTGCATAAGGACAGTGTCCAAGTGAGAACTGGCTTCGCGTCTGTTTCCCGACAAGGTCCTCAACAGAACCATGCACAATGCACCGTACAATGCCCAGGACAGTGCCACTGATGTATTACCTCACTCGCAGGCAATGTGATGTTTTCACAAAGTGTCCCAAAGACGGCCAGCAGAGCCCCCTCCTCTCAATGCAGGACCCAGCCTACAGTGTGCTGTGCCTGGCTGTTGGTCTCATCCCCTTGAACTGGAACAGCACCTGGCATCCCAACCTCGCCATCTTCACAGCACGCGAGTCAACTGTGTTATAGCCTGTCCCTTAGTATCTGTCTGAGGTTTTCTCACAAGAAGAACTCCTGCCCACCACCAACCTCCCAGTGCTGGCCCTGCTCATCCTCTGATCACTGCCTCGTTGATGGTGGTGTTCTGATGTGAGGCTGTCACTGACCACTCACACCTCCATCACCCCTAGTTCATCGGTTTTCCAATACGAGAGCTTTCCTACTCACTGTCTGCTTGATATAAATGACACAAAATACTCAGCAACCACATGGCTCGCAGATGCTATTTTACTGGAGTTACAATCCAGACTGTCGCAAGTCACATGGATGTTCACTTGTCCCTTAGCTGGCACCCAGAGCTCTATTCATGCAGCCTGAGATGCAAGTCTCCTGGACCACAGGCTACCTTCCCTCCATCACGAGAGCTCTCAGACACACTGTCCTCTTTGTGCAGAACTCAGAGGCACTCCTGAGGCCTCTGGTCTCACTTTCCCTTCATTCCTGTGCTCGCCTTCTGGTAACTGCCTGCCTCTGCCCTCTCCTAACAGGTGGTTCTTCCAGGCTCCTCCATGCCCTCAGCATACCCCGCCCATCCCTGAAGGTTCCTCCTCTGCTGCCCAAGCACTCGGACTTCTGCCTCCTGAACTGCCACCGCAAGGCCACACCCCTTGAAGCAGGGAGCTCACTTCGTTGGCCTCTCAGCAGCTGTTCTAGGAGGACCTGCCACCCTTGCAGCAGCCACACAGGCCTGTGGTTTGGCTGTGTCAGAACCCTCACCTGCACACACTTCACATTGATGCCGGGACACACGAACTTCCTCCAGATCAGGTTGGCTCTGCTGTCCCCACAGGTGATGGGGTACACGATCTCGGCCTCCAGGTTCTCCCCCTCTTCAGTCATCTTCACTTCTCACAAGGTGTGAGGACAGGGAAAGGATAAGACAAAAGGTCAGTCACAACCTCTCCAAAGCACTTCTTGCCAAAGCACAATAGCTACCAGCCCAGAAACCAGAAATTAGGATCCAGGTGAGGCCAGGGACAGGGCAGGATGAGCAGGGGCACCTCATCAGTCCCAAGTTACAGTTTCAGGTCAACTTACACAATCGATTCAACTACAAAAACATGAGCACACGTGCATTAATCTACAGTCAACTACAGTAACACGAACACACATGCATTAAACTACACTTAACTACAGGTATAATTTAAAGTACTGGTGTAACAGTACTTTAACACCATGAAACTGGTTCAACTGAAGAGCCAGTTGAGAACATAAAATTAAACTGTACTTGGGATAATTCCAGAAACACTTCTTTGCAACGTTGTGAGTTCTGAGACCATTGATGTTGGGTGTTACAAAGGATCTTCACTACCACTCACAACAGTTATAATAAGCAGAGCTGTGAAGCTGGGGCTCCCCCACAGCCGCAGGTGGGGACACAGCCAGGCCACACCTGGAGGGCCCTGTGGCCTGATCTCCACTGGGCCCCAGGTTTGTCTCTTGCTTAGAGGTCTGTCCCCTTGGGAAAAACTGTCCCAAGAGCCGCCTACAGGCACCTACCTAACACGGCTTCCTTGAGCTGCGAAGACGCTGTGAAGGCAGCCGCAGCAGCAGCTGCCGCGTTCTCAGTCTCCATGTTATCCTCGCTCAGGTCGCCCCTGGAAGAGGAAGAGGGGAAGATATCAGCGTGCCCCAAGGACAGTGTGCATCTCTAGCACCACTTCTGCACTTCCCAGTTTAGTCCAGAAGTCCAGTGGCCATGCAGGTCTAGGGACCTTCACTGACAGTCACCTCATCGTGGCTCCCCAACAGATGCTCCTCGGAATGTGTCTCAGGTGCCCAAACAGTGCCTAGCACATGAAACAGGCACACTGCATTTGTGGAGGCCACCAGCACTTCAGCAGGAATTCTAAACCCCCATTTCTTTAATCAAGTTTTCATTCCTATTATAATGATTTCACATAATTATAGAAACTATCAAAAAATATAAAATTTTAAAAAGGATCAGGTCCATGGAGACACCATCACTGTGCACCACTAAGCAGGTATTTGTCCCATGCCCAGACCTGGGGTCATGGTGGCACCTGGGCTGCACAGGGATCCCCAGGAAGGTGAGGGTAGTGTGGGCAACGAGAGAGCCTGCCTTAGCCTTGAGGGCCAGCACCAAAGCAGCAGCAGAGAAAGCCAGGCCCCAGGAGGGAGGCCGCCCTGGAAACAGTTGCCCAGCACACAGGCTCAGGGATACAAGGATGTGTTGCAGGTCCTAGGGACGGTCCTGAGCGTGGTCCGGGCAACACCACCAGGGGTGCAGGAAGAGGGGCAGCAAATGCAAATGCTCTCAGAGGGCAGGTGGGGTTAGGAGAAGGGTCAGAAGGAGGGTTGGGAGGGAGAGGACCCTACAGGGAGAATAGTAGGCTATGGGAACCATGGGCTGCTCAGGAAAGCCCTACAGGGACCCAGCCACCCCTGCCCCAGATCTCTGGGTTCACTGGCAATGAGGTTCTACCCACCTGCCCATCCCACTCCTCACCATCCCCACCAGAGACACACCTGCCCCACAGCCTGTGCCTTCCCTTTATTCTTCACCATCTCCAACCATCCTCCTGATATGGGATCCCACTTGCTCCTTCCCTGCTGACCCACACTGGCTGAGCTCAGAGCTGCCCTGAGAGCGGGGTGGG